AATCTTTGCAATATAATAATTCATAATTGGGGTGCAATTGTCTCATTTGTGCACACACAACTTCAAACACACTCCACATATACACACGCAAATTTGTTGAGTTATGTTCAGATCTCCTGTATCGTCAAGTGGTGCTGATCTTTTATTTGTATTCAAAAGAGTGAAAGGTATTCATCTGTCTCAACAACCCAAGGCACATGTATACACACGTTAGATTCGTCGTTGGTACTTTTGCGATCATTGAAAACTAGAGCATGAGAAAAAGTTCTTCCGTTGCCTTGACACTCAATGCAAACCAATCAACTTGAAAATAAACGAAGAGAGAGATAGTTGGAGTCATTATTTGCTAGCTTGTCGTATGAGAGTGAATGTTTCTCATGCATTCGATTCACTAAAACCCAGCCCACGCCTAGAGATACTTACACCTTGGTTGTACTCATTCAAACCATGCAATAAGCATACATTCATTTCGTCAATAGGCAGGATTGCAACGAATAAAAGATAAGCAATGACGAACCGCAACACATAAACCGAGTGGTTCGAGATAAAAGTTATCCCTATGTGAACCAACCATCCTTCTGACTACATCTTCACACACAATCCTCCGTTTATTCATTACACCACACACTCGGGAAGCAGTAGACTCGACATTCGCCCTCCTTAGAGCCCCTCAGTAGTGCATATCCACCGTTAGTTCGGGATTTGAACCTTGGACCCATGGCACGGACGGTGTTACCACTGTTCCAATCAACTCACACAAGAAGTGAGTATAATTTTCATTTCACATTTGTTTAGATTTCATCTTCAATGATGATCAGTCAGTTACATGGGCCGAACAACAACGGAAGGAGACAGTTAACTATCTGTTAAATCGATTGAAAACCTCCCGCCAAAACAGGAATACCATGAAGATTCAGATCATCTTGCCATTAAACTAATACTTGAATATGCACTAATGGAGAGAGGCAAGAAAAGTGAAACTCTAGTCTAGTGCTTCCCGACTGCATGATTGATTGGATGAACTGAGTATTGTGCGTCAGGATGAAATCTGAAATATAGTCAGCCCACATGATTATAATTTATCTCACACCATTACTCACGAGTAACTGTGAGTTGAATGCTAATAAAAGCCATCCATCACGGTTTACAAGACATGAACTAGAGTGAACCGACCACCCCAAGCAGGGACCAAAGTTACCGCGATCAGCATTCCGGACTGATAGGGTACGTCTGAGGCAATCAAGGCGATCTAGGAAACTATAATGTTTGCGTTTCTTTGAAAAAAAAACACTTTCCAGCGTCAGATAATGAAAACAAAATAAACTACAGAAATAAGAGAAAAATCTACAGCATTTTCTAAATTGGCTGCGAACATAGTTCTGGAGAATACACGGAACGAACTTGTCGGAGAACATCTAACGAAAAATGGACACGGACAAATAAACAAACTCGCACCGACTAGACCTAAACGGGGCTTAACTATCGCGCTTCTATATATCGCGGAAAGGTCCCGAGTTAATTAAGAGAACATGGAATTTCTCCAACGGGGTTTTCGAAAACGAAGTGCACACATGCACATATTAGGTAGTGCTTAACTTTGAAGGTATCAAGCGGAACGAAGAAGACGAATTTTGAAGTAATCGGAAAGCGCTAATATCAGTAAAATAAAAGTCCTATCAATGGGTTGTTCTCAGGAAACTCATATCCAAGGGCACTTTATCGATCTTCTTCTTCTTATTGACACGTGAGAAAACCTCGTTAGAAATGTGATTGAGTAAATTCAATGAGGCGCACGCAGATATTAGTTTTACATCAGAAGCTGAATCAGAAGACACATTCCATTTTCTCGTTATGAATCTCATGCGACGTGGTGATGGTTATCGAAACAGATGTGTTTATCGTAAGCCAACATGGATTGGGCAAATTGAATATATTATTCCATTTGCAAGCTTCGTACCACTGAAACGGAAGCAAAACCTTATCCGTTCCCTCGCAGCCCGTGCAAGAAACATTTGCACAGAAGACAGCTTAACACAAGAATTGGAGAATATAAAACAAACACTCACATCTAATGGTTACCCGGAACGGTTCATTCAGAAAAAAACTATCCGAAACACCCAAGAAACCTCCAATGACAACAGTGAATAAGAAAGACTTATACCTGTGAATCCCATTCAAAGGAGATTACAAAAGTGAGCTAATCACCCGGCACTTGGAAAGAGCTACCACACGCACATTTCCGGTCGCATGTTTACGCCTCCAGTTCACCAATTAGGCGATTATTTCCATAAACCTCAAAGATTGATTGCCTATTTCAACCTTCTCCATGATTACCTACTCATTCGTTTGTTTATGTTTGGCATACTTCGTAGGAACACAAACCAGCCTGATTGACTACTGGGGACAGAAAAATCATTTCAAGTGCGTTTGGGGAACACCTCTCAAATACTGGGCATACTGTGAATGAAGGTGCCTTCAAGGTGTCTCCTTTTCCGTCTAAGGCCGTTCGCCAACAACATTTAGCAACAGCTGAGGCAGTGGCTATCCGTTGTTTAACCCATCACTTTGTTCCCAAAGGCGATTTGGTAAAGCAGTTCAACTACCATGGCCACGCAGTGAACTCAATCGCATGATTAGATCTGACCAGTTCCATGACCCCTTGACCCCTTCGATTGACCCTGTGCCCCAAACAGGTGATGGATAACCTTGACTCTGTCCTAACCCTCATGTGACATCCCTATTCCCATCCATCCACCACCGCAATGTTTTGTTAACCACACACAATCAATTAGTTATATCCGCCAATCCAATCCGCACACACACGTCAAATATTATGCAAATTTGATGTGCCAATTACCTATTTATATAACTGTATTAACCAGATCAGGAAGTTATCGCAAACGAGCTTGTTAGCTAGTTCGTGAGTACTTTCTCGATAATTGTCCGAGAGATCGNTAGCGGGATGGTTACTACTCTGGAATACCTTGATCAAGGCTACTCGCCGTGACCGAAATGTCTGTTTAATCTCACTTTTGATCAGATCATTGAGTTGTTATTAGATAAAAATTTACACCGATTAAATAACAGTTTATTATGATCTGTGCTTTAAAACAATAGGATTCATAAAACAGAAAACAAATTTCGCGAGATGATAACATTTCGTTTTATCCCCTTAGTCGCTGACGTAAAACAACCTGGCACAATGAGTTGATCAATCCTAGTAAATGGACGTGTACAAAGATTACTACCAATAGAAGTGAAACGCCAAATCCACTGTAAAGTGGACAGATTGCAAAGGAAGCTTTTGTGCCCTTGCAATCGGACAATGTTAACCGAGTAAAAAAATGCTCTACTACTTGTCAAAAATTCAGCATTGATGAACCGAACAAACGGAACTTCATGTTTCAACTAACGGGATTATTTCATGAATTGACTTCTTTTCATGATTTTAAGTGCAGGTATTGACCAAACTCGTGCTAAACCCTGAATTTCATCACATTGGTTCCTCCCAACGCTTAGTGTTTCGAGCCTCATTCACGGGATATAATATGATATTGCTCCACATCATGTGTGGTCGGTGATCGACCAGTTGGAGTAGTTTAAAAGGAGGTAAATTGATCAGTGGGATTCATAGTTGAAACCTGGTTATAATCCATCAACACAGATAATGGAAAGTTCCCCTGTCATCCAACTAAATACCAAGCTGAGCATTGGATCGAATCAAGCAATATGCTATTCAGATTTATCGTGTAGATGCACACTGACTGGTAGTTGGAATAAAAGTAGATACTGGCTAGTAAATTGTTTCACTCAAATAGCGACGACAAAAAAGGTAATTAATTAGACAAGCCGGAAAAATCGAAAACTAAATTTTTTCATCTCATCAGGTGTACCTTGACAGTTCTTTTAACTGTCATTCAATTTGATCACTCTCACTTAAAAACCTCTGACTGTGCCTTACGTGCGCCTCACTCGCTAGTTCCAGAGAAAATAAATGACGCACTTACCGACAATAAATCATACGTTTTAAAAAACATCCTGCCAGTAGTCCTTGTACTATTGCATTGAAGACACGAACCATAGAGAGAATTCTATTTGCAGTAGGGCGGAGCAAAATATACGCTTGAGAGTGAAACACAAGAACGAGAAGAACAAACTGATTCAGAGGAAGACAATTCGAAAGAAGCACGCAGCTCGGCAATGGTCCCCGGGGGTTTTCATCACTGATCCATCGGGATTTCTTGTCCACAGTGTTCGTTCGTGACGCCGCGCATCATTTTCCAAACCACAGGAACGAATGGGGAAGATTTTGTCCGAAATTTGTCTACTCGGTCAGTGATATTTGCAGATTTATTTAGTTATTTTTCTTTTGGTTTCGGAAATACAGCCGAGCAAAATAACAGATGTGGATGTGCAGTGAAATGAACGAAACCAAAGCGAAAAAGGGCACACGTCGCTGCGCTCGAACGGGGATCAATATGGCACGAGCAAATGTTCCTTCTAGTTATATACACCTTCAAACGTACAAGTTTGAATAAGTCTACTCTCTACTCCGAGTGAACATCATGTTTTATCCAATGAAATTGGCGAAACTAGTTAACATGAGAAGTGTGAGATCGGATGGGTTGATGACTTAAGAGATGAGTGGAAGGAGTTGGGTGCGTAGATGGGCGTATTACACACGAAAGAACTCCCATTTGGATTGATAAAAGTCCCTGACTAATAAGCCGTAGGTTTGGCAACGTAAATATGGGCTATTAGACTGGCCCATGAAGTTGAACGTGAAAAAAGTCGGCAAATTCAGTGTTTATATACACAGACGGAAAAACACACAAACACAGATCAGCTGGACTGAGTTGAAGAAGCAATCTCAACGCAATAACTGATAGCTGGACGAATGAATCAGTGTGTGTGCGCATAAACCAGTGCTTGATGACACAGAGTCCGATCCCGGGACGAGGGCGGGAGAAAGAGACTTGGTAGGTTGAATGGATGCCTGTTTAGTACGAATACTGTGGCCGTGGTGAATTAGTCGCAGACACCAAATCGTCTCCCATGTATGGATCTACCTGATCATACACACGCATTGCAAACAGGAATACCGGACCGGATTGACACATTTTTGCTCCACTCTCTGGGTCGCTGATCACATATGTTACATCATCACCCAATAATCTTATAATATCTTCGCGTCTGTATTGAGGGTCCAGTTTGGGAGTGAATGAATTCCTTGAATTGTACGTTTGATAGGTTGCCGTACTGTGCTCCCTGGATTCGGCTACTACTTGAAGTTGCATGGTTTTTGAAGTGCGACGGCTATCGCGAACAATCAGGGCAGACGATGGAACCGGCGGTGTTGCTTGAATACGCTCAAAATAAGCAGTGGAAATCCCGGGAGGGTTGAATGTACTCCGTAATGCCGGTTGTTCTTGTAGAATAACGGGACTCGGTGTGGGAATCACCGGTGTTGCACGGTTCACAAACCGAGGATTATCATAATATTCAGTCACTCTTGATTCTTTAATACCTGGAGAAATCGGTGGTGTTGGGTCATATTGTCGACGCAGATCAGACTGAGACAGATCATATCGATTTGGTGAATCATAGGCGGAGGCCACTCTAGGTGTTGCGTGCTGTAACTTCGAGGCTTCCATTGGTAGGACCACCTCTTCTATTTCCTCAACGTCCATTCCATTTTTCTGTCTCTCACTCTCATTCAGCTCTATTGGATCATCTGCATAAACGTCCCCGAACTGATTCATTACTGCTGAGGTCAACCTGTTTCCGTTCTGCTTAGCGGTCGCAGTCACTTCACACAATCGATTCACGTCTTCGGCCTGTTGACAACGAAAACTCTCGTAATATTTCTTACTTTTCCGCTCGGAATCTTCCACACATACCATGAACAATCGTGGGTTGAGTGAATAGATGAAAATGTGACGAATATCTCCGTATTTGGCGTACGCTCGTACGTGTCTGGACACCCGAGAACCGGATCCCGGCCGAAATAGGATCCGATCATCTGTGCACAGTATAGTTACAGGATGAGGTCGTTTCTTCATATGTTTTTTCATCAGTTTTTCCACATGCTCAGCAGAAAACGAGTGCTTTTGACTAGACACCGAACGATCGAGACGCTCCGCGGGACAGGTGAAATGGACTGACCGGTCCGTGGTGTTTGCGAACAAATCCGACTGAGCAGAGGAGGACCTGGATTTTTTCCTTAAGCCCATGTTTTCTTTTGCTTCGTGAGTTGTGAATTAACTGACGTCTGTGTGTACACGGAAGTTTACGAATAATGTTTTATCCCGTTTCTAGAGGTGACTGGTCATGGGGCGCATACACGTGTATTGCGACTGATCGATTGGGGCGGGGGAAGTTGACGTTCACAAAACTGTTTCAAATCCACTCCAGTTTCTGTGTTGCATCGGAGCACAATGAGTGAGCACGTTAGTGTGGTGACGTTCTATCGAATGGATGAACACGAACAGTTTCTATTTTCTTTCTCGGTTTGGTTGAATTGTAATGACATGGCAGTGTGTGTGTGGCGGAAAAACAGCAATTGAAACGATATTTTCCAAGGTTGATTAAATGTTTCGAACCTATCAGGCTTGAAGTAAACGCAGAGAAGAAGGTTGTTACTTATAGTGCCAATAGAATTTTCCATGTCACGTGAGTTAGAAATCTTGAGTTGTGTGAGCACCAGATTACGTATAAATCATTGCACGTGGATACACTGTCAACATCCTCTCGCACACACGCACACACACACAGGAAAAGAACAGACGAGTAAACACGGTTGTACTGACATACGTAGACTATAGAGCGCAATCATACAATCAGCCAGAACTACGTGATTACCTGCACACGTACCAGGGTGGCTTAGACACATACGTAGATCATTTGAGCGTGAATGTGAAACTCGTTCAGGCAGTTAATCTTCGACAAAGGATAAAATAGTGGGCGTCGGAAAGGAAAGAGAAAGACAGCATGCGATTCTGCAGTTATTTTCACGGATCGGTACCTGTCTGTGACGTTCCATTGTTCCGAGTAGCAGTGGTATGCGGTGGAATTTTGTGAATCATTATATATATATATATATATATATATATATATAATGCGGACGTTTGTTGGAATCCTGTTCCCCAGGAATTTGTCATTGGCTTTTGGTAGTTTTACGTGTTTTGAGATTTAAATGACTGATCATATTTTTGCGGTGCTAAAGTGCATAACCGTTGAGGATCAGTTTTCTCGATGTTCATTTCCACTGTTTCCGTAAGAAAGTCTGGAATGCAAAACTCTGGTTTTGTTTTGGTGTGTGCGTTTTCGTTATCAATCGAAAACCGAAGTACACTCCATCGGCTTAAGTAGTCGTAGCAGCCTACTTTTTGTCTAAATGACCAGAATCGGAAACTCATTTGAAACGTCATTTGTGTACCGACGGGCGAAGAATACAATCGTTGAAATTTCTCGTCGTAGATGCGAATCCATGGTTTCAAGAGCTTCTTAATCTTGAAAGTTCACATTTATGAACAAGGACCCATACTTTTTAACAATTAATTATTAAGTATTTCCCCATTTGGGAAATCTCGGTTTCCGGGGGAAATTATCAACAGTGAGTTATCGTATTAGCTCGATTGTTTTACGAGTAGTCTGTATTTAAATCTGGTTTGGAATTAAGAGCCACTTGATTGGTAACTTCTTTCAGGTGGTGCTTCTTGATAGCTAGAACTGGAGGAACTTCATAGAGTGGAATGGAGCCGAAAGAAAATATCAGCAGATTTATTGCGTCCAATTACTATAATTCCTTTTAGATCAACTGAATTTTGAAAATAAACGGTTTTCCGTCAGGTATTACTTGTCAATTAATCTTAAAAGATATTATCCTCCTAATTCTTAGGATATCTAAACTAGAAAACATACTGAACCCATATTCGTGCATTTTTAGACATTAAACTGATTATTACACTTACTTCATCTATGCATGCTTAATTCCCTCCCTCCACAACTAACCACTACACATTATCACTTTCACTTGCCATTATACACATTATTTTTCTTTGGTAATAACTGTATGCTGTGGCCATCAATTGCAGTATGTTCAGACTAGTTGAATAAACCATTTAGGACTGTCAATTTTCGTAGTTTTGTCTCTTGGCGGTTCCCTTCCTTTTACGGGATCATAAACGCCGTCTTGTCAGTGTACACTAGGTCGGAAAATCGCAAAGCAATGCCTCACGATTTGTCGTTGATGTTGTTCCCGTTTATTGTTTTCCCTATTTCATTGGTTATCATAATCATATTGCTTTCGTGATTCAAGCTCTGTTTCCTTTCGAAAGGATACAACAAACTGAAGTGAGTAGCAATCTGTTGAAACCATTGTGTTCCACAAAGAGATGCAAACACCTCACGGGGATTTTCCACGTCACTTACTAAATTTGTTGTTGATAAAGCTGTTACTGGTTCGAGGTGTCGTGCTTTCCAAATTGACTATTTTTGATTCGGAATGCCTCGGGGCACTGCAAGTCGCCTCGACCGGGATCCGATTACACGCTACTGATTTTTACCCTAGTTTCTTCAATTTATGTACACTGTTTTGTTGCTTAATTTTTAGTTTGCCATACAAATTTTAGTGTCAACTATACAGATATGACTCCGTCAGACCCTAATCACTCGTTGCAAGCGGGAATGACATGCTATTGCTTCAACCCTACACAGGCACTGAATATCCACTAATGCGAACCCGTATTTACATTTATCGAAATTTACCAATGATTCATCTTGCACGGTTACTCACAATCAATAGAGGGTAACAAATAAATATCGTCTAAACTTAGAATCTGAAATGTCTGTTTATTGTTTGTACACAAATTTTCCTCAGTTGAATATGTTCTGAGTGACGATTATTGTGTTTAATTCTTTTTAAGGCTTCAGTGTTTATGAAAGTTACACAACCAAATACAACACAATGTAATACAGTGCAATAAGACTGCTAGCTTTACAAAAGTAACAATTTCGTGCCTCATTATTTAAATCTTGCCTTCTCGTTTTAATAGAGTTTCGCCTTTCAATCTTGTTCTTGAGAGACTGTGGTCCAGGAGCATTTAGTGATTCCCGGATTGGCAGTGAGTCCTCAGACTGTGCTGCAGTGGTCCTCGTTTTAGATTTTTCTAAAAACCGGAGCCATCATTTTTGAATTTGGACACAGTAGATTGTGCAGAAAATTCGGGGACGAAGGATAAGTACCTGTAAGAGCCAATGTACAATACCAACAGGAGGGCACAAGAAATCTAGAATGCAAACAGGTATGGTTTATGGTTGGAAAAACGCTTCTATCCAGCAAACAAGAAACTTTCAAGATCGGAAATGTGAGTCTTTTGAAAGATCGTTTGGATATTTTATCGATCGAATGCTTCGGGAAAATTCATATTAATCAGGCCACTGCAGCACTTTAAGGGAACTTTCGTCGAACTGAATACAGAACACTATATTTTCTGTGTTTTGTAAAGGAACCTGTCATAATCAGCTTCACGGAGTTTGGAAAACAAGAGGTTTATAGGCTGAAAGATGACGGAATGACTACAACAACCACCTTTCTAAAGGAGTGAGCTTACACTTTGTTTTTACAACTGCATGAGTGCTTTGGGGACATCCGCTGAAATTGAAAAAATGGTGGTCCTGACGTGATTCGTGTGCCCGTAGATGAGCGCATTCACGGTAAAAATAGTTTTGTTCCCATCTTTTCTGAGACAAACATCGTTGTAGCCAGTGAAGGATGTGGAGGGTGATGCATTGGGTTCCGCAGATTTGCATCACCTAGTCGGGAAAATAACTTGGGCAATCTGAATTTTCAGCTTTTTAGTCGCTTTCACTGAACCTTTTGCGTCCCTCAAGTGACAACAGCTTAGCTTTGGTAATCCATTCTTAAATTCTCAAGTTGTTTCAACTTTTTTGTTTAGAAATGACCCTCTGTGCCAGCTCTCTGGACATATTAGCTAATCGTCACGCATCATCCCAGTACAGTGTTTTATCATTTAGCGATAATTATTCCAAGTACTGCCATCAGAAAACGGTCATACTCTCATCAGGACTCATTCCTCAGTTGAATCCATTTTGCAATGCAAGTTAGGGAAGGTTCGGTTTGGATACTAGATCTGTTGCAGAAATCAATCTTTGTAACCAACTGTAATAGATTTGTAACAAAGTCGGTAGATTTCTGCCAGGACGCTAGCCGTTTGTGTTTTTTCCCTATGGGAAATTTATCACATGAAGAACACCAAGTTTTGCAATCTAACCCAGACTATGGAGAAAAGAGAGGCATCTAAAAACCTTTCTTCAAAGATGTAACGAATGTAGTCACATGTACAACATAGTATGACATGCTCTCAGCCTCCTGGCGGAGGGGGGGGGAGGATAATGGTGGTGAATTCTTTCAACAGTTCTGCTCTGATCACTGGGTACATCAAGTTATTATGATAATGACAATTTTCTGAACCTTGTGGTCTCTTTCACATGATCCTGTCATGGACGCGATTCAACGAACTATGTGAACTACTATTTTCATTTATGGGATTATTTTAGTAGGTTAGTTAAATATCCCAATAAGAGAAATTGGGTAAAACCTTATTTAACATGATTACAAATGAGTTTCTTTGGCTCACCTCAGGATGATGTGGGAACGAAAGACTATACCAATCCAACAGCTATCTTCAGTAAACCACGATGGTAGCTAATTGGCGTACAGGTAACACAGACGAAAAAGAGGTTATGTGCAAATCATTGCGTCATTTAGAAAGTGAATATTATCCAGTTAGTTGCCTAATGGCTAGCTCTCAGTGGGAGCTTCTAATCATCTTTTTCTGTCGTTATTTGTGGGTTCACGCCCGAATTTACGCATTCGAGAACTACCTCACTCAAAATGTCATTATTGACATGTACACTTAAAAAAGTGTGAATGCATTTTTAGTAACTCCTAGATACCGTGACATCATGCTTAGCTAAAAGTTATTCACAATCAACAGCCATTGTCTGGTACAAAGTGCTATGAAGGTTGGTTTAGATCAATAACTCAGTATAGTTGCTACAAAGAATCCCAATCTACAGCTCTGACCATATTTGACTTGAATACAGTATGCATTTTTTCTTGCTTGCACCGTAGTGATGTGATAAAATGCGCGTAACCATAACGCGTCCCGACTTGGGTGCAACTTGTCACTTTGTCTGATCTAAGGCA